TGTGATTAGTTATTATAGAGATTACGAATAATGCAACCAAGAAGACGCTAGGACCCGGTTGGTCTGTTTAGATACCTGTCCTGAATAGGACAAATGATAGGAATACTTCAGTCCTAATCCCATTATTGTGTAGAAAATCAATAACACCCTACCACTGATGGTTAGGTCTAGGCTGAGCAAATCAGATTCACACAAATTTGACAGTATGAGGTTCCAACTTCAATTTTTAGTGAAATTCGACCACTTGATTGATCTCCGTACTGAAATAGTGTTGTATATTGTTCAGTTAATGATTGGAGAATAAATAAACTACCTAAAACTCATCTGCATTTGGAAGAGGCTTACCTGTGGGCAAGCAGTCGTAAATACAATTTATGTAAGCTAGAAATAGCAACGGGCCCAAGACATCACCTTTTATAACCCCACTTTCGACTGGGGTATCATCCGACAAGCAGCAGTTTATTTTGACTACTTGGTATCTGTGACCAAGAAGAGAATTAATCAAAACAAGTACAGGGTTTCTGACCCCGTAAAATGTGAGGTTACCTACCAGAAGCTGGTGATTAACCACATCGAAAGCTTTAGAAAAGTCAAAGTATAACACTAAGTGTTCTTGGTTACGTTGAGTAAAGACTAAATTGAAGAAGTCAAAGTGACAAGTTATACAAAATGGAGTTTCAAATAAACCATGTTAGGAATCAGTAATAAAAATAGCACTGGAAAGGTTTGGAATGGTTTTAGAGTCGTTTATAATTATGCCATTTTGCAAGATGCATTATATATCCACACTTTGAGATGCTCTAACGAGTTTGTTCAAAAGAAGTATCAAGGTTAGTACTTCTGAGTTGTTATTATGTGCTATGAACTCCTATCTGATAGCTTTTAACCTATACTTCTCCTTAATTTGGTTACAAATTATGGCTATTTGTACAATCGCAGTGAAATCATCTGACTTAAAGTAACGTTTCTGCAGGAGTCTTCATTTACTACGATATTTAACTGACATAAATAATTCGTTATGGTCTCCAAGATCCCACTATCTAAATGTGTAACTGAGTGAATTAGACTTAAATTCCTGAGGAATTGTCAGTTTCCTGAGTATTTTAGACTAACTTTGATGATTTATGTCAGGATGAAAATAACGTCAATTTAGAGAGTCATATTGACTGCATGCAATACTTCAGCCATTAATTTATTACAATTCTAAATGCTATTTAATGATTCCAACAGATTTAAATAAAATGTAGGCAAAACATTATAGATGTTTGAAATGACGGGATGAGAGGGCAGTATTAGTTTAGCTTAATTCAATGGGAATTTCGACCGTGGTGACAAATTTGAACTATCACTCAGTTGAACATACTTGGGTTACTATTTCTTGTATCGATCTGGTATTTTCTTTCGATATGATAGATGTAACTTTTTATCCAGTGTGAAAACTGTATCTCCTATATCAGTGTAAGTGAACAACATCCAATTTGTATTTCTACCCACATAAATTAGTGCATTTTAATTTGACGTGGAAGTTTCTGGATGTCGAGTTCTTGGAGGATTAATAAACCTTATTTATACCAGTCTTACTTCTCACTCTGCAATGTTTCGTTTTTCCAGGTGTAGGTAGTCGGGTCCCGGATGAAACAAAAGCAACACACCAATGATCATATAGATTTATTTACAAAACATTCATTTGAGGATATCACGGATATTGTGAGTTGGACAACGCTATTCAGAACGAGAATACTGAAAACAGTCATACCAGAAGTCAGAAATGATGAGGATCGAAAGTATATTTTAACGATGGTTAGGATTTAGAAGAATGAGTGAACTTAGATTGCTAGCTGATGCGTTGCAGGACGTATCCAACAGTGCTATGACCGAGCGCATTAAGCTAGGGTGTGTTCAGTAAAACTAATGAGACCAGCATCAATGTCGAAGACTTACGAAAGTGTCTATGTTGAGAAATGATTTGCCGGTACACATTCACTTCTGTGTGCTTCGAAATTAAAATATCTTATACCCACACATGCTTGAAATTAAATGCTTCAAAATTAACACTGACAGCATCTAATTAAGTGTACATAACCCTGAGTGGTAGATTAAAGCTAAATAGGAGTGAAGAATAATGATCTTAATGACTGAATACATTAGTCTTTAATCCTATTAGGAACCTATAATGATCCACACCTTCTTACAGAAACAATTATTGAGTTTAAATATGATAGTGATTCAGATATCTTATTTTGGGGTGTCTAGCTCGATAGGGTGTCATTTCACGCTAACACTGAAGTCTTATCGACCAAAACATTTTCGATTTATTTAGCATCTGGTAGCGCACAAACAATAGGCAATTACTTGCATTTGTAGAGATCTGCATTTCACAGAACTAAATGAACTGGAGGTAGCAAACAGACGGACGCAACAGCATAGATTTCCCAGGAGGCATAAATGAAATCATTATTTAATCGAAATATAGATGAACGAAAAGTATACATTTACCAAGAATTGAATTAAATGTTTACAACTACATTAGCTATCACTTGGAGCTTAGATATTCTAAATAATATCTCTATCCAAAAACGAACGTAATAATGAAAACGGTGAAAACAGGAAATCATGAGCAGTAAAAATATTAACTGTTTACATTTGGTATTATGGTAAAGGATAGTTGCTTGAATAAGTAATAAAGAAAATTTGTTGCGATATATATAAGTAAACCACATATAAGTAAAATAAATAAGTATATACTGCACTAAGTCAGATTAATTTGTTGGACCGCAAAAGCCTTAAAATGGTAAGAAAAGGCTGAATTCACATTGCTTACTCAGAACTGCCAGGCGTCGAAACTTCCTAAAAGGCCTCGGTAATCTACAGATAATTTTGTTCTTGTGTACAAACTAACATTGGTAGTAAAATATGGCTTCTTAATTCCCGCCTTCGTTCTACCAGACAAAGATAAAGTTCTAGGGAGAGTAGAGAGTGGTTAGGCTGTAATCATCAAACATTTGAGTGCTATAAAGTTAACTTGAAATAAAATAAGTCCCAAAAGGTTTGCTAGGAATAATGTACAAAATAATAAATTGTAATAAAATGTTAACAACAGCAATGTGTAACGATTTAAAAATGTTGTGTGTGAAGAAAATTGTCTATAACGATAATAGAATCTAACCTGTACTAAATAACTACTAGAAGATTAACGTATTTTGGTATTATAAGGTTTTCGAGTTACTTTTTGAAATCATGAACCGATAAATGTTAGACCACCATTAGAAACCTAGAAACACTAGATGGCCGTCTCATCCTGGCATGGAACTGACCAGCAGTGCGCAACCCAGGACCTTCCTTCTCGGGTGAGAACGCCTAACCTTTGAACCAATGATGCTGGTCTAACTTTGACCGATTCATGATTTCAAAAAAATATTTTGGTATGTTTGGTCTTTATCAGTAATTTTATCACGAATTTCTCATGTGAATTAGTTTGTGATTTTGCCTACATGTGTGTCGTATTTAAAAGTTAATCCGCTCATGGTTCATTATTTTTATTTTAATTAATATTATCAACGCGGTCGATCATAGTTCAGAAAATGTAATGGATAAAAACAATGAATGCTGTTTGTGAACGATTGTTTTGTTAGATGGCCAATTAAGTGAATAATCTGTAGGGACGTGGTCAAATAGTTACATTGAGAAGTTAATATTTTCGTAACCTAATCTCATTACTTTTGATTTCATTAGTTAAGTGTTGTCTTTTGTTATGATTAACAAAGTGTACATTGAATATTAATAAATAAATATGAAGAAAATTATTGACATTTTTTATAAACATCACTAGATCATAACTTTTAATGATGCAGATTATTGTTTTCTTTGTGTAATGAGAAGTTATTACATAAATTCTATTCCAGGTATGGACATTTTTGACAATACATAACTATGATGATATTCAATGGAAAATAGATAGTGAAAAGGGGACTGTACAGATGATACATAAATTGTTTAAATAGTGACCTTATTACTATCTACAGAATTTGATGTTACATCTTCTGTTTAACTTTTTTCTCTAGCACTTCCATGTTAATTTATTCATTCTAAGTGTTTTTGAAGAGTATCAACTTTCTGAATTTATTTTTATTATTATCAGTTATACCATTATTCGATGTAATGATTAGCTGATGAAATATCTTCATTTAAAAGATTCAGGACTGTCGATTACGATTTTAATTTTAAATAATTAAAATTCATAGATAAAAAAATACTTATTCACATGGTACCTGAACGTCTTCTGACTGTGAATGACAAATAAAATCCACTAACATGTTATTGAAGCCTCTGTTCAGATAATTTTTAGCTTTGTACTTTATTTGTATCTTTGAAAATCAAAGTTGGCAGCACTAGTGATGCTTCCACTGGATTCTGACTTAAGTTACCTGATGTCGATGACTACTAGCTATAATAATCACCTATGCATCAAATATGCAGTTTGCACCTCCCTACACAGCTCAAATCAACATCATATGGGATACACGGCAGTGAACACACACAGAACAGCAGCAGTCCAAAGAATACTTCACGAAAAAATATACGATTTGCACATTCACCGATCGTTACCAGTACGAATGACAACAGTCATCAACCAAGGTGAAAAATGAATAACGTTTTTCACTTATCGAATTTTGAAGGTCATCTTAATACCTTAATCCAAAAACCACTGTTTATTGATTATTTCTTTTCAAATATTTAATTATATACTGACTCACTGGGGTTTTGAAATTGTTTTCGTGATCATCATAATCACTTTGACTATTTTCACCAATTGTTATCGAATTCATAATCCACATTCTAATAAAATAGTTTTGGTGAATGCATTCTTCCCTGTCATATCATGATGACCCATTTTAAGTAAATGCAAGTGAACACATCAACACAATGTGATTACAGTAAACTAGTCAACGGTAACCCATTACAAAAATAATGAAAAAAACAAGTTCAAACAATGCAATGTATACACTAATAATAATAATCATTTATTAAATAACGTATGTTATTGATTGAACGAGTTTATAAATAAAAATATTCATATCATTACTGGTAACACTATTTGGTGAATAAACAATACATATATTTTTTAAATTCACTTATTCAAAATACAAACTACAGAGAATTTGAAATAATAACACAGACATAAACACGTACATACATGCAAACAGTATTGAAAGAGATTAAAATGTAAAAAACTGCCCCATATATATATATATATATATATATATATATATAGTCGAAATTAGAATCAATCAACTCATAAAATCGATATCATCAAATGGAAACTATTTGGAGAAAAGTGAACATAACAATGGATTGTTTCTCGCGTTTCAGTAAATTTACTGAGAACAATAAGAAAAAAACAGGAATAAACCAAACAAGATAACATAATAGAAAACAGAATGGAAAAGTATTTTTTGTTTAAAAACAAAAAGAGGCAGCAATCGGTTGTAGGAAAAACCGGAAATAAATAAGAGAATAACAATGATTTTACGTAAATTATTGCACAACCAAAACACGACCAGCACAACCATATGAATAACAGATAAATAAAATTTGGAATGATTCGTATATATATATATATATAAATATAAACATATAAATATAAATTCGATAAATACATAAATAGGTAATTGAATACAATCTATATATTTCTCTTCATGATTTACTTCTCCTAGTTTAATATTTTTCACAGATTAAAATGTAAATCGAAATCCGATAAACGATTCTGTTTTTAAATTAATGTTAGTGAGAAGAATTTGTTCACAACCAAGAATATCATAGAAATGTAACGGTATTGTTTTTTTAAGATTTCTTTGTATCCCATACTTTGTGAAAACTCTCCATAAATGAATCATAGATCATGAAGCTAATACAAACATCTAAACAAACACGACCTAATCTAGGTACAGTGCCTTTGTAAAAACTGTAAACATGAAAAGAAATAAGTATAAAATAAAAAAAACGTAATGTAAAGAAAGAATACATAGAAACAAAATGAAATTTAAGAAATAATTGTTATTTACTTTAAATATGAGTAAAAAGTAACGAAACCAAATAATTACTATTAGTTTGCCCGTTAATAGTAGCTAATGCCTTCAAAGAGACTGAATGCAATCGTTTGGTGTTATAGAAGATCTTTCTAATTCTCATACACACCTACATAGTAAATGACCAATATGCACTGATCGCATTAAATATTCTTCTAAATTACTAAAATTTCAATCATTCACTTTAAAGTCTTTCAATTATAATGAATAGTTAAATTCAGCCTACCGAAATCTTTAGGTTTATGCCTCGTTTACTAGTAACAGATCTAGATAATAATAATTAAGGTGACAATCAAAAGGGCATGTATTAATAAGGCAACTAAGAAGAGGGTACATATTTTAATAGAACTATTCATTGCAAGGAAGAATACCATTTTTAATGGTGTGAAATATGTTCGATTTACCCTCTATCCCTTTACCTTGTGATCAGTCAAAGACGTATTTTCTGGACGTAGGATGAGGTATCTACCTTCAACAAATACTTTGATTTGATATCAAATTCAAAAAATCTAAGTGTCTGTTGAAAGTAGATACCTCACCATACGTCTAGCAAATACATATTTGACTGATCACAGGGTAAAGGGACAGCGAGTAAATCGAGCATATTTCACGCTACTAAAAATGGTATTCATCCTTTAATTTATCACCTTAATTAATATGTGCCCTTTGGAATGAATATGTTAGGTCTTGTGTGATCAAATTGTAGTGAAGAAACCCAAGTTCAGTGTTTCATCTCCACTACTCCCTGAACACTACTTTATATCTTAAAAAATTACACCAAATGTGTAGCCAAATAGGCTAGTAGCCACGTTGCAACTTCATCATTAGGATTTGAAAATCACTAACTAACTAATCGATGATAAAACAGGAAAAATAAATCATTTGACAACAATTTGTAGATCAAATGGAAGCTTAGAAACAGAAGATTCTAGAAACACAATGATATAATAATATACTAAGTACATAATACAAATACAAATTATAATTCTTTGCGTGATAGTAACATGAGTCACAATAAATGAAACCCATTCGACACAAACTCGACAGAAGTGCAGTGTGCTGTCGTCACAAAGAGGAAAACACGTCGCACACATAAGGAATTCCACTAGGATCGTCGTAAGAAGCATCCAAAGCACTCATAAGATGAAAAGCTTATGCATCCAGGATCATCAAAGCATTTTTCAAAACAAAGGAGGGAATTACAGTAAATGGCGTTCGATGCTATACGTCCACCAATGACAGCGGTACAGATTATAGGGAGAGGCCATGAAATGGACTGATCATAATGATAAGAGACCTAAATGCCTAGGTTGAAATGGACAACACCAGTTACCGTGGAGAAATCATATAGCGGCAATGCTGATATAAGAGCATGAAAACGATGAGAGATTTGCAAATTTGTGTCTTCGATGTGGTAGACCAAAGAACATAGGGCAGCGGGAATGAGAGGCAGACATCAAAGGAATGAATAGCACTTTTCAACAACTTAAAAATGACAGCCTAAGATAGAGTAGGTTGGAAAATCCCGGTCGATAGCTTATGCTTCACAGGGTGTAACAAGCGTAAGTACATTACGTTTTCATTAAAAATTAGATTATCATAAAGATTCTGTTTAATTTTGATATTGCTTATTTACTAACTAACTAGATAAGACTAGAGAGGATTGATATTAAATAAATTACATATCTCTGTTAACACTACATTTGCCTTCTAAAACACAAGAACTACGAAACAAACAACCGCCTCATTACCAAACTTTTGTGACAAGAATTATTATGATATAAGATTTTTAATAAGCTTGTACAAATGATTGAATAAAAAGGTGAGTTTAATAGCGAATGAATGTTGTTCAAAAATCAAACTCCAAGTTTGCCAGGAATCAAACAGGTGTTTAGAAGTCAACTCCATGTAACTAAGGAGCCACTTGTCCATAATTGGAAATAGGAGTGACATTTTAGACAACCAAGGGCTTCAGTCTGTCAGGTGTCTACAATATATCATAATACATGCACAACTGATCGCTCGGTCATTTCATTCCTGTTCCGTTAGAATACCGTCATTGAGAGTAAAACGATGCAGCTAATCAGAATAGTTTCTCATCGTTTGGTCAAATAAAGTTATTTTGAATTGAGATACATGTTAGAGATAAATGAACTTACGCAAAAAAGCCTTCTTCAGTCCATATTTTCCAAGCACAATGAAGTGTATTTTTGTACTTATGTGCATCTAAACCCTGTAAGAGGAAATTTCAATGATTAAGTTATTTTGTACCGAATAAAATGGGAACTATAGTAACAAATGTTAATATTATTCATCAATGTTTAACAATCTAACCATACTTTCATGTCTAAGAAATAAAACGTTTGTGTGATATTTTGCCAAGGGTAAATATTAGTAGCACATGCAATATTCATGATTAAGTAACAAGTAGAAGTTTTCAAAAGCATAATCAAAAACATCATTTTGTGAGGTCACCTAAAATTTATTTCAGGATGCACGATTTCCAATTAGGGTTAATTCGAACAACTGTAATCAGGGGTTGAAAACTAGACAATATTATTAGCAATCGGTGTCAGTGGAGCAGATGCCCTATTACGCATATATGATGACCCTCATTTCGTTCGTCTCCTTTAATAATGTTCTTCGTGTTATGAACTGATAATCATTACTCCTTGAACGAAGACATATTCTTATCAGGACCTAAGTCATTTCTGAGGTCGGCTAAATTAAAGAACAACCAGTGAAAAATAATATTTTTGCCATTATAATTACAGATGGCTCATTATAATTATCCAGATATGTAAACAGCATATCGGATTGTATTAAGCTAACCTAAAAGACAGGATTTATTGACCACAAACTACCGTTTTAAAAAAAATCAACAAATAATACGAGGATGTGTCCAGAATAAAGTAACCCTATGGATCAACTCAATGTGTACTTAGCATTTTGCTTGTTTATACAAGGTGGAGTATAGTGATTCCACAAATGGTCCCCTTTTTAAATTCATTTTCTGACTTTGTCGTGCATAGTTATCCAAAAGGGAATATAAAGTGATCAGTAATCGTATGATAAAATATCTAGTCAACTGTAGTCCAATAGTTCTTTCAGAAGTAACTTTTGAAATAATTTGCAAGAATATTTAATCCAGCACAAAACGGAAACATATCAATAATTTATGCATATCAGAATCAGAAATAATTAGATGCAATCAGTAGGAAACTCTCAAATGTAAACTTTGTGCAAGATAACTGATGCTAGCTAAAGATATGATCTTGTTTGAACTAGATAATAGTTTAATGATACTACCATAGAAGTGAAAAGACAGTTCCCAATCATTTAATACGATAAACCACTTGGTTACCATGTAATTGTGATCGACAGAACACAATCAGAACTGAAAAGTAGTTAACACTGGTAACTAATATTTTAATGAAGAGTATACTTACTTGCATTCGAGTTTTGATAACATCTAAAGGTGTATTTCCATAAACAGATGCTGCACCAGCAACAATACCGAATAATCCAGTTAACAACTTTGGGACTGGTAGTCCAGTAGCTTTATCACCTCGATAGTGTCGGTAACCATCTTTTAAAGTTTCCATCACGAAGAAACGAATTGCTTGATTACTTCCTTGTTTCAAAATTGTCGGTGTTACACCTTTGTACATACCAGTAATACCTACAACAAGAAAAGAAAACTAATGAAGAGCTGATTGCTTATTCAGTTCTGTATAACTCAATGTGTTTAATTCTGTAAAGAAAGATACACTGATTTAGTTGTAGAAAAACGCATTAAAGTTTGTTGGCATTAAATTTGAATTTCAGTCAAAAATGACCTAGAAAATAATGTAGGATTCACTATGAGTTTGATGTCAATTCAATCTCTGACAAAGAATGTCTGTTTCATTAGTCCAACATGGTATATTAAAATGGCTAATTCTCAATAAAAAAAAGTTGATAAAAACAATAAACGCTATACCGAGTAATGATCTGACAATAATGGGACAAATTTTTGAAACCATGAACCGATCAATGTTAGACCACCATTAGAAACCTGGAAGCACTGGACGGCCGTTTCGTCCTGGTATGGGACTCCTCAGCAGTGCGCATCCACGACTCCTGCACCCCGCAGGATTCGAACCCAGGACCTTCGGTATTGTGCGCGAACGCCCTAACCGTGTGTGTAACTTAACAATCTTCACAACCCCGTAATGTAAATAATGGGACAAACATATCATAAAATTTTTGGAATAACTAATGTTTCTAAACTAACCAAAAATAATACATCAAACAGAACCACTGACCGATTGTCTAAATATATCAAGCGAATGCAACAATGAGTTATGTATCAGACAACAAACAATTAAATAAGAGTGAAAATAATGCTCACAAAAGCCACTTAAGGTTGGATTTTTGATTACTGTATTATCGACAATGATCGAAGCAGGTACATTAAGAGACAACTATATGAATTCAATCGATATAAGCCAGACCATACCGAAGACGTTAATATGAAAAACAGGAATGTTACAGATTTCTGAGTGAACAGATCAGCTTGTATTGACACACGAACAGGAAGGCAAGTTCACCAATGTTCTTAAGCATGTATCATGGAATCTACATCTCTAGTATAAAACCTCTCAACAAGTGGGATGACCTGTCGGATGTTGAATAGAAGATCAAAACAAGGAATTATATATGAGCTGCAAAACTTCCTCTACTTCAGTTCGGTTATCTCATTGTTTGTGATCTCAAAAGGAAAATTATGAAAGGTATACTAGAACAATGGCATGATAATTTGTTCCCATCTTACAAATTTTTAACCATTTCCCAAATTATTACTGTCATTTTTACATGTAAAATCTTGAACTGAACGTCTCGTATAATGATTCGAACTAGCTCAAACGGATCAAACTTACTCATAGTTGTGATGTTTCTTTTCATATTCTCCGCTAAGTTAGTTGAAGACCATCAATCGAAATAAAAACTCGAATGTATGGTCGATCTATCTAAATCAAGCCAAACAGAAAGGCACTATCCCTTAAAGAATTACTCAACACCACTTACATTGAAAGGAGTATTTCACAAGAAAGTGGAGTAATGTAAGATGAATTCCAATAGTGTGCTGATAAATTAGATTTATATTTATTCCGTAACTGTATTCATTACTAGTTCGGAAACATATTTTTCTCAACATTATAATGCACGATTCCCTGTTTTCACTAAATCACGATGAACGCTGAATTTCTAGTTTCGGGCTATATACTTTCCAATGAAAACAGTTAGTAAATACGAAGCATTCATATCATAATTTAGATAATACTATCTCATGTAACGAAATCCATTTAGTTTTGTCTACGGAATTTGTATTCAAATTATTGACTTCATTTGCTTTTTCGAGAATATTCACTAACTCTTAATCGATTGAATATATAAGAACATATGACTTTAGGAATAAATAACGATTTATTCACAAGCGGTCACTAAGAATGCATCCTCTAATTTTATTTAAAATGAAAAAAAGATAGTTAATCTTAATGTAATTAGGTTGTCGTATGCATTCGTGCGCGAACACACACGCACACATAATAATCCAGTCGAAGAAGACAAGTAAACGATGGAAGTACTAACAAAAATTTGCCGCACTTAGAATCAACCGGCTATTTATATCGGTGAGATCACATGAGAGTTGCAAATTAATGTAATTTTGCTGGCGTGAATATTAGTATCAGCCAAGAAATCTAGGCACACTTTTTTGGATTATACAAACGTCATCTTAACATACCCATTTTCTAAGTAAGTAAGATATAGAACTTATATAGAAACGTTTACTAAATAATCTTTGGTAAAATATTTCAGGAACACTTATCAACGAAAGATTAGGATTCTCTAATGTCTTATGTCAAATATCAGCAGCTACATCCTAAAACAGGATAACAGGTTAGTGAAAGCTGTTTAAATTATTTTAAAAATCAACATCTGACAAGTTTACAGTAAGTTAGTTAGTTCTGAACTAAGAGACTATGTTGAAGTTTAAGGGAAATAGCTATTAACTTATTTTTAAGTGATGAGATTAATTGTTGGTTATCTTTTGAACAGGAGTTTCATCTTCCGGCATCCACTTGCATGAAATTTAGTGCTTGGATCAGTAACCGAGTGCTTCATTCGAATTATGTGATAGATATCAGGGGACAACAATTCAAGAGTGAGATACCAACAACTACTCCTAGTCGTAACCACAAAACGAAGTCTATTTAGTCTACATAAACTTGGAGAACCTTAATCACTCGATAACTGTATTCATAAATGCTCATGATTAAATATATCATAGTGAAAATTAGTCTATGACCACAGTATCACATTTTATGCACCCCTTTCATCGATTTACATATGATCTAGAAGTTCATTTAGCCATAATTGTTTAGTAAAATATTTGTTTACTAACTGATATATTGAGATGAGTAGTGTTGAAGTATAATTCGTACATCATACAACAGATTATTACTCATAATTTTATTTATTTGATAAATTTGAATAGCATAATGAAAAGTGGAGGATTATAAGAACCATGTGATATCTTGGTATATTGACATATATTTCAAACAACCTGATCACACATCTACTTGTTCAGAACGTTTACATTTGAAAATAAAAGGTCAACTAGACGAATGGAGTGTAAGGTTAAGGGAGAAAATTAATGTGAAACACACCACCCTGGATAATAACACAACATTATCAAGGTGAGAACAAGCTGGTTTTTCGTATAGCCTAAGCTTCAATAAATTTTAGTTCAAGTCCTTGAACATTTCTATATAACAACAAACCCGAACTAAGATCAGTCTTGTGACCTGTCGCAGCTATTTTTTTAGCAATAGATTATAGTTGTTTATCATCTACTTGTATTAGGTCATTTTATTTCATTTGTTTTTGCAGCCATTTAAGTACACGTTCAGACTCTTGGATCACGATTACTCCTTCCTATGCATATGTGGTCACTCACATTGAAAGTGATAAACGGAATGCGATGTGATACAATTACTTATACGCTTTTTAGGTCTTCAATGAAGCATGAACCATGTTTTTTCTATGATAATGACAATTATCTATGTGATCGGATTGCACTGCTCTAACATATCGCATAGTTCTGATAATCTTCGTCTTTTCTGATTTTTATACCGTAATTCGTACTTCTCTATTCTCATATTTCTAAACGTTCATTTGTCCTATGGGTTATTTTTACATATCTTATTGTTGTTCATCGGTCGATATGTCAGTTGGTAGATAGGTCATCTATTGTATTGGCAATATAAATGAACCGATCAGTAATCGGACCAGAGAGCAGCCGTACAACTGGTATCCTGTCATTACAGCCAGACTAGACGGGACACAAAACATTTCAGTCAATCTGCATTGTCCAATGTATGACATTGTGGTCTTCAAAGCACATATCTCTTTTAATTACTTAGTAGATTAACGTAAAAACCTAGCAACAAGTGAAAGTAATCGTCGTTGTTCATATAATAAGTGACAGACGAAATAGAATAAAATATAATAAACAGTTCTGATTTTCCTAATATCAACAGTTGCAATGGTTAATTGTATTTCATCCCTCCTATCAGTATTGTTTGGATTTCTCCATATATAGGGCTCCAGCTGATAGTCTTTCTTTGTATGATCTAGTTTTTTGAAGGATTTTCGTGCCCCCGAAATCAATTACATAGCCAGATTCCATTGAATACAGTGCGATCGCTGACTTTTTTTTCTAGTTTATTCATGTCTTCTGAGGAATTACGAATGTGCTCTAAACAACGTTTGTGTTCGTTCATCCTCACATTCAGCTGCCTTGATATCTTACCGCCGTATATAGCATTAAGGTTATTAAATTTGATCTCAGAAACACAATTTTGTCGTTATTCTTTTGGTATTGAGTTCTTAATTCTTACTAGTTAAGGGCTTAGAGTATTGTTTATTACAAAGAATAATTTTGTATTAAAATGATTTCTCATCCTATTGAAACTTCTTTTGCGATGTGAGATCATTATCCTATCAACTCATCCTTTTTTCAGTGTGTTTCCTTATCTTTTTGATCTTTCTTAATTGCTCATTTATTAAGTCCGTAGGATAATAATTCATCATCAGAGTAAACATAACGAAATTTACTTCAGTTCCATTTTCACTTTGTTCAATGATAAGTTTTTGAACTCTGTTTGTCAAATTATTGGCAAGTGTCATTTTGATGTAATGCGTGCTTGTAGCTATCATTCCTCTAGTTAGTCTAACATATTGAACCTTAACGGTAGTGTTTCTGTTTAAAAGCATCTTTAAGCAGAGGCTTTGTGTTTCAATCTTCTTGCTCATTATATACATGCGTACTTTCAAAAAGTATTGAATACACTGCATTTCAGTCAAAATACCATGTATAAAACGAAGTTCATCGTTAATATTATCAATCTGATACTCGTTAAATTAATATCAATATCATTAAATAAAATTCCTTTAGTAAACAAATTTGTGAATAAATGAATGTTTACGAAGAAAACAGTTGTTGGAAAATGTAACGAAATATAAGTGAACTCAAACTTTAGTCATTTAGGGCAAAATAGAGTAAAAATATTATATGGAAGTAAGCTTGGAGTAACAGCGACAAATATTAGCCAGTTTTCAGTAAATCAAAAAATAATAATTGTTAACGACAATCTAAGTGGAAATTCTGAACTTAAGAAATTTAAAAAACAAAGTGAATCTTGCATACTGTTAATATTTCAGTCAGTTGGTAGTTAACAAGAAAAGATATACTGAAAAACTCCATGATTTTCAGAGGACAAATGAGATTTATAATTTATTTAAGCCTCTAGATGACATTTCAGATAAATTATTGCAGAAGATTCTATCTACAATCTTATTTTAAGGCAGTTTACGCGCAGCTGCCATAGACAAATGATTCTCAAATCATGTGTAACATTACTATGTTTGAGCATACTTCTTTTGCTGCGTTGGCAAAATGACGTGAAATATAGGGCTAGAAGTTGCTTTCTACGAAATAATGCATTCGTAATCTGTGTCGCACTTCATAGTTGAGAACTTGATTTCTATGCTGATTATCAGTCAACGTTAAAACAAAGAATATTAATTTTTAAGGCTTCCCGATAGAGCTGTAATGGAACTTAGTTCGTAACAACCGTTTTCCCTTCTTTGCCATTCCCTAAAAAGACATATCAGTAGGTAATATTTAATCCCAACAGCTATTAACCTTACCATGGTCTTTAATGATACAGCGGCAGCCGTGAAAAAAACCACGATAATGTGGATTCTTAGATGTTTGATCATTGATAAATTTTACTTTAATGGTTTCCATTGGAGTGACTACCATTATAGCTTCACAAACTCCTGCACCTATAAGCAAGGAAAGAAGTGTAAAATTATATGCGGTATAAATTTAAACAGCACTAATTAAATAAATACTTCAATTTTTACTGCAGTTGTTCTATGCCAAGATACTTTTCAATATTGATAATGTTATAATGTTAGTGCTTGTATAAGTAATGTCAGTTCACGTAGAGTAGTGTGAGAATGCGAAATGTAGCTTCAGGATTGGAATGAGTCGGAGCGTGCACTAGTGATAAGGAGTAAAGTAGTTGAGCGTGTTGACCGCTCCACTTATATTGGGAGTCTCATCAATCCCGATTGGCTGATATCTGACGAAATCAAGGTGCGGATACATAAGGTTCGATTGGCTTTTGTCAACTTACGTCAGCTACGTCGCAGGCGAGATATCCGTTTACTAACCAAAGGACTGCGCAGCAGTTCGCTCTGTTCTACTTTACGGGTGTGAAACATGGCTATTAAGAAAAGTTGATATTCGTAGGTTACTAGTATTTGATCATAGGTGTTTTCGAAGCATTGCTCGTATATCCTAGGCAATGCTGGGGTCAGGAAATGGGTACTAAGTAGGAATGGCATATCAATTGATGAGGTCGTGAAACTCCGTCATTTGAGGTGGTTAGTACATGTGTTACGTATGCCCAACCACCGACTGCCTCAACAAGCTATGTTGTCTGATATACTGGTAGACTGCAAGTAAGCTAGGGGTGGCCAAACCGAAACACGGCACTAGTTTATGGTGTAGTCTCGTCCCGAGCTGGATGTTTTGGTTGTATAGCTTTCATTGTTGAATTTATTGTTCAGAAAAAAAGAAAGCTTCACAACCAAAACATACAGTTCAGAGAACAAAAATGCACCTTACTCATCCAGCTGAGCTAGAACTTTTCTTCATCATCTCATGGCACTATTCTATGAAGCCGTTGACAGTTGAACAGAGCCTTATTAACGGACGTAGACTATCAGGTTTAGAGATTTTAAATGACATGGCTCAGATGCTTTCATTCTTTCTCTTCCCTCAAATTTTGAGTTCTTGAGTACCCCATGAACTTCCTGTTTTTCTTCTGAATTTATTTCATTGATTTATATCCACTCAAATGTCATCTTCGATCTCTAATCTTTTCCATTACCACTAATACTGCTACTACCTCTATCACTCTTGAATTTGGCCTGACAATCTCATCTCGATGTGACAATATGGTGAGGTAACTTGAAGTGATGGACATACGCATCACGTTTTACGTTGCAAATGATTGATTGATTATTAACGAAAAAGTAAAATTTTGTAAGTATATAGGAACGAAGGATTTAATCTTCTCTCGATCAAGAAATATTGAAAGTTTCTGACCAAAAAGAAATAAAACTACATTTATACTTACCTAAACCACATAAAAGTTTTCTTCCAGCTGTAAGAGTTCCATCTGAAGATAAATTATGACGTTTGAACTCTTCAAATGCTCCAAATCTAACAAAGAAAGATGTTTGAGTAAATTATTAGTGTTAATACATAATAAAGTATATTAAACAATAGCTACAACAGCTACAAAAGAAAACGAATTTTTTTAGAAGACTAAATCAAAAAATTAATTGTTTACTATTTTAAATGATTAGTTATATTAAGTGAATACGAATAAAACTGATCGTGGCAAATTAAAAAGCGAAATAAACTTCTAAAAAGTAGATGAAAACGTGTGTTCAAATAATACAATTTGAAAACGAAATGATGAAACTATTTAGCTTGTAAGATGACATTGGACGAGAACACGTAATCATGAAAGCTTACAGGATTTGACATTTGATAAATCATTTTTAATGGTATTTGAATTTCATTGGTATATCTTTCATAAAAAAGTATTTTTAAATTACAAAATAACAAACTGGTTAAAATTGTATGCAGAACTGATCAAACAAGATGTAAAATTTACTTACATTTGACACAAATAAAAATATTGTTACTGGTTTTGATCAGAGATTTGCCAATAATGTGTGATAAAGTAGTCAATAAAAAGATCTATTTGGACAGGCTTAATCAAGCCAGAGGGATTACTAAGGTATGGTAAACTTACAACAGTTTGTCAAAGAATTGATTTATATACAAAGGAGGTTTCATTGTACTTATTTATAGGTAACATAAAAGTATTCCTTTACGTGTTGCGGGATTATCGAGTGAGTAACATTGCAGTTAGATGTAGGATGGCTAATACCATACAAAATATCTAAATCAAGGAGTGGATATTTACTGGTTAAAGTCCATGAGATACTAATTACTTGTTTCAAGTCTTCAGTGACATCGTTCAAGAGCAAACACAGGTGTACAGTGTTGCTTACTCTTAAAATCTATGTAGGTCTTGTTTCGGTGTATAGATGTGAAGAATGTTATGTAGACTAATGAGCATAAAAGCTAGACTTTGGAATGAAGGTAACTGGCTGATTAACAATGAAAATCACATACTTTTATCATTTTGCTACTTAGTGTCACCGTAAATTTCATCATGATGGTTGACCTGTCATCGCCTGAACATAACATTTCATATTTCTCAAGTGGTGACTACAAGGAAGATTCAACCATGTGAAGTATAATTATAAGTAAAAATTAAAATTTTTCTTGACTATTTTGTCTAAAGTTTTGTAAAGAGCTAATGTTCCTGAGTAGGCCAACAGATAATATGGTATGTTTATGATTAACAAATTGTGAATCACTGATTAGAGTGATGATCCTTTGTTAAAAAAACTATGAAAAATATAAACTTAGACAAGAATCATTGAAATTTTCAAATGACATACAATGAGAAATTGATTAAATGTAATAACAAACAACATATTATAATGTTATTGTATTCCCCAAGACAGACGAACACGATATTGATTAACTCAGTTAAACACAAATACAACGTAAATGTGCTCTGTATAAGTCAACTATTGGACCTTTAACCAATGTCCTATTATCTAGACTACAGTAATTACTGGATCCTATCAATCAAGTTCGAATCATGTGCATTCAGCATAGTGACTGAAGAATGGAATAAACGTTATCTAATGATAATTTATTGTTTCTCGATGAGATTTCAACCATGAGCGAACTTAGTGACAACACAATTCGACAACTTACTATACATATCTTTTTTTTTATAATAAAGACTTGTGTATAAATTACATCTAGTAAAGGATATAAGAATAAGTAAATTTCGATTAATTACTTGAATGACATATAACACATTGAAAATAATCTAACGTTTTATACGTTGCAGGTGGATGCTAACTAAGTATCTTTAATTAATATTAGTATTTTATAACTAATAAGAAACATAGAAATGAAAGATTTCTGTTAAATGAATACTATGAAAACTCAGTTGTAAATGTGAGAATGTTCAGGTTCCATTGTATAACCATGCAATGAAAACAGAGGACTCCAAACTCGTATGCCATAATCACAGAAAACGATTAGTTGAGAGCATCGTCCACATCGATAGGCTTTTCTTCAATCTAAAGTTTATAGGCGGACATTTTGCCAGATGCCTAGCACGGAGCTTGTTTAGAATTCATACGGGTGGGCTTCAGCTTGAGACTGAACAACAGTGGTGAATATAAATCTCGGACAACAAATAAAATATCTTCGTTATAAAAGTATTATAAGACAGTTCATCATCAATTTTTCCAGTATTCGGTGCACAGTCATCGGAAAATTTGTCTACATATATTTCAACAAGTAATATAATGTTTCCATTCACAATATATTATAGAAATAACATCATTTTATTCTTCTCAGCAAAATTTTATATTTGCTGTAACAGAAATTCGAAGTTACTTTTTATCTTAAGTTCTGGTGACGTATCAACAGAAAACTTGATACATAGCAAAGTTCCATACTTTATATAGTACAGCATTTGCAAACATAACCTACTTCGAGTAGGCTAATTAATAATCAGTTAACTGAGCCGAAATTTAATTCTAAACAAAATGCTTAAGACATTGTCGGATAGCTTCTCACAGTGACAGGAAAGCAAGCCCAACATATGGCTGTCTTTAGTAGGAACTTTAGCTTCATAAGAATATCATTTACCAATTATTACATTATACAAAGTTATTACGAAAATTGAAGATATTCGAACATAATCACTCATAGATATATAGATATATATACATGTCAGACAAAAACTGCACAGATAAATATGCTTAATTTTGATAGGACAGGAAGTTAATCATTAAAAATAAAGAAAAAAACTTAATTGGTACGGAATTTTAACGTGATTTTTAAAACAAGAAATACGTATCACTAATTTCTATGCAGTTAGTTAATTTCTAATTTGGACAGATCTTAATTTATATCATCCTGAAAAATGGTTCCATATGGTAATTAACTATTCATTTACGATTATTATTATTATTATTATTATTATTATTATTATGATATATTTCATTTAATTTTGTATAGAGAACAAAAAAGATTATAGAATACATAGTACTTTCGTACTCTTACAAATGTGACATTTTGTATAGCATGGCATTTAAATCCTTCAACTAAGCATTATTTTAAGCATTCTCAGTAGCGACAAAAGTAAATCGTAATGATTTTTAGAGTTGAGAATAACAGAAAAATGTAGACAAACTCATTTGGTATCTTACTTTCCGCTATTTAGAATATGATCTCACTAAAAGAATAGATTGAATGGTTTATGATAATTATAAAAATTTTCCATTATTACCATATATACGATTACCAGTTATATAATCGAATCATGATTAAACTCCGGTTTCAGGGGATATAAATATACAACTTGAATCTCTAAATAAGCATGAGACGTAAGAGTCTTACATTTCATCCTAATGTTTAGACAATAAAATTATAACTGCATATTTAGAGATGAATTGTCTTTTGAAATTTTCAAGTATTCGGAAAACTTTTAAACAATTCTCAAACAAACTGTATTTATTGAAAGTGAGCGCGAAATCGTTCACCAGGTTAACAGGTTGACCTATATTAGCACTGGAGTTCTCAGGAGAATCGAGTGAGCGCACATGCAGTTATACGGTTAATCACTCAATGATTTAACTCACACAAACCTAATGCATGATATTAGTATTTTCATGAGAATTCATAGTTTCAGCTCTCTGTTCAGAAAGAAGTAACCCCACCATACAATATACGATCCATGCTTCCTTTCTAATAAGCTACTGTACATAAAATTTTTATGTAAGAGAGTGGATGTTACTGTAACTCTCTATTCAGGAAAGAGAGAAGCTGGTTATAAAGCATATTTTTGGATAACATATCCATATAGGATAAAGGATACTCCATTGCTGAAATTAATTCCCATGTCTGTTAAACCCTTCAATTACTCACAACTGTTCAGCTCTTGTAAAAGGTTAAAGACAACAGATACAACCATGGTGCTTGTAAGTCCGTATTTTCTATCCGTTTCATCATTTTAATTAAAGTTTTCTAGAGGTCTCCTTGTCTATAGATATATATCTTTCAAGCCAGAGTACTCTACAGTACAATGCTAACGAAATACTTCCGGAGAATGAACATCGGACAAATATAGCTCATCAAAGTTAGCTCATAAAATGAATGGCTTCGTTTTTAAATAAGTGTTGGAATTGTGTATAATAAATTGGTATTTCCGTGTAATCACATATAAACAGGCTAAAACTCTTGCATACGTCAAACCTTGAATGCTTCGGAAATTAACATGCTTACCTGACAGCCGACTTAGGAACAGAACCATACAGAAGAACAGGTAAACCTCGATACAAACCACGAATACCATAAGATTTCACAGTCTTCTTTACACAGTCGATAGGCCCCGAATACTGTCTGGCATTACCCATACGTTCGTCAAGTTGCAATTGCGTCTTTACATATTCAGTTGGAAAAGTGATGCAAATTTCAATTGCCCCAGTGACTCCACCTGTGTTGGATTTGGCAGACTGAAAAGAGATTCACAAACCTGCTATGGCTCCTTTTATTGTTTGTTCAATAAGAGTTGATTTATGCGGTCCTTGACTTTCATGAACCATGCTAGAATTAATGAAAAGTATTAACACAAACTAAAATGCAAACAGAAAATAGGTTTATTTGAAAATAAAACTTAAATTGAAAACACTTGCCTATTTAAGCGAGACTACTAGGGCCTATAAGTATCTTTCGTAGGACAGATTACACGTTTCAAGGGAATGTACATTCCAGTAGTACTTATTGTGAGCGTGAACAGATTTCTCTGATATTTTATAAGGAGACATTGAAATCGTACATTTCTTGACCAGCCAACACGGGAGTTGGTTTAAAAAAAGTTTTTTGCTATTACTAAGCAAACAGTATATTTTGTATTGGAATGAAACCAATATACTTTCAGTAATTTTCTATGTACTTTTCATATCACTACAAAAAGTGTACATATATGACTTTCCTTTTAGGAAACCCGAAATTACATTCCGATACCTTGTTAGATTTGAAGGCAGAACTCTTAAAACCCATTACACATTGCGAAAAATACATGCTATGTAGTAAATTCCTTAATGTTTTGTTTTTGTAATCTGCGTGACGATTAATAATCAAACACAGTGAAATAGAGCACTGTTTAATTAGCTTCTAACTCTGCCCGAGGCTAGCTCAAGGTCACTATCTTTTCAAAGCCCATTTGAAAAGAAGATTGAGAGTAGCATTAGCAACTCTACATTTTATAGAACGACTTTGCTAGATGAACACTAACCAAGGAAAATAATTGGATCTATATAAATTGTCCTGAGAACTGAGGGATTTTCGAAACAAACACCATATCAAAAGTGTTATGCATTTCACAACAACCACAGGGACAATGAAAAAGGAGTGCTAGAACAATGTGTGAGACTGAGAGTCCTTTGATAAGCTCTAAGTACGAGAAGATACCATGTGATCAGGCTTGGAGTCTTCTTCGACACTCTTGAGTATCTAGGAGGATCGTCAGCACCACCAAAACTACTACGAAAGACAAAATTCCAAAACCACGGACGATGCAGCTCATAGATGCATTCCTACTGAAGAAAAATGTCAGTGAATTCTTCTTGAAATACTCTCATATAACCACGAATATATAGCCACTCTCACGGAAATCCTACTCACTGTCTTTTAGTGGGACAGATGTTACGTACGAAGTTGAGATGAAAAGTGAATGTCCAGTGTTTGAATAGGCTTGGTGAGTACGGAGGGTCCATATAAGGGAGATTTAAATTCTTGAATCCGAACCTATGCTGAACATGGAATCCCGGACCCTGTTGGGACGAGTGGCATATGAACCTATTTTAGTCACCGACTACCACGGGACTGCATCTCCTGACGCTGCCCCACTGCCTTGTCGATTAAACTTCCAGATCATATGCTTGGAGAGTGATCGCCTATGAAAATCACCTATCGTGGTTTGTGCAAACGTTTAGTACCGTAGTCCACTAACTACTTGCATAATTGGTGCCTCATTGAACCAATATTTGTCTTTAAATGAGTAAATCAGTGAATTATGAAGATGTACAAAGTTTAGGAAAAGCATGGAGTGTAGTAGAAGCCTCGAAAGTGGCCGCATGATCGCCATCGCATACACAGAAACAAATGCGAAATAAGACAGCCAGTGTGATAAGAACTTCCGAAACAGTAGGTTTCAACATTCACAGGGGCGAAAGCAAGATCGTGGAGCAGAACGCAGTGATTAACAACTCAACGATACTTGGTGAAAACTCTAGAAAAGATGGATGCTTTTACATACCTGCACAGCGTTTTTGATGAAACAAGAAGGTTATGATGCTTATGTCAAAGCACAAATGGGCAAAACAATAGGAACATTCCTACAATCGACTGTTTGGAAATTAAAGGAACTGTCACTCAAGAAGAATTTTAGAGTTTTCAGTGGCAATGCCTAAGTAGTATTATTATACAAAGATGAAGATTAGATAATTACCAAGACTATCATTATAAAGGTACAGGTCTTTATAAGCAAATGTCTTTATGAACATGTCTGTGTAAGAAACACCAGATCTATCGACCGGAGACCATTGGCAATAGTTGACTCTGAATGAAAAAACCCAGTTGCTACCTGAGGAAGAAATTAAGTGAAGATCCAGGAGGTTGGTGATATACACGTCGAGGAGACCACATTGTCAGTCAACGCTTAATTGAGAATAACCACGACATAAAACACGGTACTAAGATCTAAAGGAAGATGTTATTATGAAAACACCACATGGCAATATTTAGAGGGAAATTTTTGTAAGATCCTGGTTGCCAGTCTATACGCAAAGAAGGCTACCAGGCGGAAGCAACATTTAAATACTCTCACAGAAATCATGTATACAAAGCATTCAGTTTACCCAAAATAATGAGTAGATAGTTCCATTAGGTAGACCGTTATGGTATCGACGGCTAACCCATTTTAAAACTAATAATAATAACAATGACAAATATCATATTAAATTATCTACTGTAAACTTCATTGATTTCTACTACTTTGTATATTACTTTTGAGTCTTAGACTGTCAACTAAAATGCCTCTAATTACATTGTGGTTTTCCTCGAATTATTAAAATGAAGAAATTGGCAGAAAACATGACGGATGATTTAAAAATTTATTTAACAATGACTGCTATCATTTTCAGCAAATATACCTAGGTGTTTATGAATTTTTAGAAAGCATATAAAGAGAATAATTTGAACTTATAATAATCCAAATTGGTCTGACGCTCCGAAAACTTCCAAACTATTAACGGAGGAAATATAATACAGCCATTGAGACGAGGCATTCGGACAAACGAAGTTTAAAATCACTTTTTTCTTATTTAAAAGATCACATTCTCTAAAATGAAAGATTGAGCACACAGGCACTGAATATAAGGGTTTTTAAATATTAGTGAAGCGGACCTTTGAGAATAAACATATAATTTCCTAATTTGAAGAAATCAACAGGTTTATGAAAACAGTGCTAAACAAATACAAAGCGATAACATATAATTTAAAATTTCCATCGTCGAATGGCAAATCACAAAGCAATATGTTATGTATTCAATATACTGAGAGCAGAAATCTTTCATTCGGAAACTAATTCAAGTTTTACATTTCAGAAGTTAAATAACACAATTTTCTTTCGGAAAAACAACCATAATAAAATAAATTTTCAGTCATTTTTATTTAAAATGGGGATGCCAATTGCTGTCCAATCATAAGCATTACATTTTGTGCAGATAACGAACTTACATCTATTTGACCTTTAGTTCAAATAGTTGGACTGATGAAAGTACAGTTAAATAGTTATGAAAAACTAAATGTCATTCATTTTATTGATGATACAATTATTTCGTGAAAAAATGATTGAGGCTTCACATCAATTTCTAAAAATGACCTGTAAGGAAAATCACAAGTGAATGACCTTATTTTTTCCTTCGAGCCTGTATTCTTCCGAAGTGTTATGTGTTGTCTGCTTGTAACCTGTTTCTCAACTGCTCGTTCTTTAAGTCTAATATGGCTTCGGGGAAGCGATCAACTGCTCGCGAACATACTGGAACAAGTAAACACTCTCGAGGATAAAAATCCTTATATTCCTTCTTCGTCAGACAATACAATAATAAGTCCGACGACTGTTATCAAAACAACGCTGAACCACTGAGCGATAGGTATAACGATCTCTATCAGCTGCTCACTTCCCAGTTGACTGAATATGAGCATACAAATATCCATTTACACAGGGCTAACGGAAAAACTATTGGATCCACGACACTTAAATATAACGTTGCTATTTTCTATTGTTTATCAGGTTTTATTTTTGGGTAGTATCTATTCACTTAATCTATCATCATAACTTTCTTACCTCAAAGGTTCGTGCACACTTCTAGCAGCTAACATACAAGCAAATCCAAAACATTTCATATGATTCCTGACTGTGAGAAAAATTACAGAACCCGTATTTGTGCTCTCTAAGGACCAAATGGCAAAGATTCTAATAACTTGGAGATAGCTCAGATTGTAGTGTGTGTTCAAATATGTTGTGCCCCTGGGGCATGTCCTATCATTCAGACAAAGTAATTATTCTTTCCTGCCTGAGTTACTATTTACACGTCTTTCGACCGTCTGTATTATTCGTTTATAACTTTGGTAGTTTTGATTTCATTGCGTGTGCACAGCATAATTGATCGTTCATCGAAACTTCATTCAGACCGCAGGTCACTAAATATTCTTTAATGCCAACTTCACCTACTAGTCAAACCAGGGTATTACTGAACTTCAGTAACACACTTCGGCCTAAAGAATATTTGACTTACTTCCGAGCAAGTACCAGGAGACTGAAATCTTGTCAAATGCCTACTCAGAGCTCAATCTCTGTCCAATGACCATTGAGGGCTGAACACAGCCGAAACTACATAACAGATTTGCCCAAAGCAGAAAACTTGGTGATATTACTATAGAATTGTTCTTAACTCTCTATAACATACGGATGTCCTAACCCTGAAATTCAACATGTTTTCCTAATCCCTCTTTACAAAAAAGACATAAATATCTTAAATCGAGTGCAGAGATGGGCAACCAAGTTTTCGCTGGGGATAAATCAAATCTCACGAAGAAAAACTAAAGCACTTTGAACTGTTTTCGCTGATTTATAGGAGAATAAGAGCTGATTTGATCTCATACAATAGAGTACGTACATCAGCCTAACGTGTTTCGTCGAGGCATCACTAACATAACCTTCGTGGAAACCACCGAGAAATCGCACATCAAAAATCAACCACACTTTTTCTGATTACGAGTTGATCTGACATGGAATTACCCAGCTGAAGTGATCACAGTAACTCCAGTGGATAGTTTCCGGACGAGACTTGAAAACACATAGCCATATATGTATTACCAACTCGCGCTTGAAGAGATATGCCTATTATATGTCTTGTTGTTATCATTATCAAGTCCTTAGATCATAAACATATTGTATCTGGTTTTTTCATCTATTTTTACTCTTTATCCCGATAGTTTGCTTTTCCCACACTATGTAATTTGATAATTTATTAGTGCAGTTGTTTATGAAACATCCGTCTTACACTTAGCATTAGATTGTTCCCATTATTGCTATTTATATTGCGACTAATCGATCTCCAATCTGACAATGTGATAATTGCTGGTATCCATAAACCCTACTGAAGTGAAACAAATGCACTCACTCACATAACTGAAAATACAAATTCTTAGGGAACTGTCAAGTGGTTCCCTTTGATAAATTTGAATAGAGAAATAAGAAGACATATTTTGTGAGATAGTACCATTTCGTGCTTTCTCGTCAGTCACATACAAGCAACATGTTATTTGTGTAAATACAGTTTTGAAGATAAGGTCAAAATTTCTTATTTAGCATGACATTCACTCACTAGAACCATGATGTAGTAGTCATGAATAAGGATGACTACATAACGAAAATGAACGTGATCCTCTCAGACTCAGCTAAATTTAAATCAGATTCACAGGTCGATAACGTGAAGTTGGTCGAAAAACAGATATGCCGAGAACTACATCTACTCATGCTTCATGGTTTTATCACCGAGGCCCATTATAAAATGCTCAAGCCCATTGGTACATGCACACCACAAATGTATGGCTTACCGAAACTACACAAGCCTACAACACCTATGAGACCAATTCTTTCCATGATAAATTCACCATACCATAAGCTAGCAAAGTGGCTGAAAGAAATTTTGGATCCTGTTTGTAAACAACTGTCGACACATACTATCCTCGATTCCTTTGAACTTCTCCCAACTTTGGAACACTTGAATATTTCTAATAGTCGGATGTGTTCTTTCGATGTAAACTCTTTATTCACAAGTGTACCTCTCGAAGAAACTGTGGAATTTATTTGTGACTTCATAACTTCACACAACATAAGAATACCCATTCCTACTACCTATCTTCGAGATCTAATTTTGCTGTGCACAAAGAATATAAAATTCTATTTCCAAGGTAAAGCATATACACAAATCGATGGAGTGGCAATGGGAAGCCCTCTCGGACCTGTTTTAGCAAACATATTCATGGGAATGATAGAAAGGCAAGTGAGTCACTTCATCGATGGTATTACACTTTACAAACGATATGTCGACGATATTCTTGTCATATTACCACATTCTACAGACATTAATGAAATCAATGATTTATTTAATGCGATTCACCCGAATCTGAAAGTCACTTATGAGGAAGAAAAGAATAATGAATTAGCCTTCCTCGATATCCTGCTCAATCGCCGTCCAGACGGATCAATCAGGCGAAAAGTACACCGCAAACCCCCCTGGTCGGGACAGTACCTCCACTTTACTAGTTTCTGCCTCATACAATATAAACGTTCTGTTGTCAAAACTTTATTCGCTCGAGCAAGTAGAATCTGCACTGCTGATACATTGAACGACGAATTCAAGCTTATTACTGACACACTTAAATCAAACGGATATCCCGAAACGTTTATTGGTCATCAGAACACAACTATGACGAAGCTGAGAGCAACTGATGTGCCCAAGAAACCAGTGTACCTACAGTTACCTTTCAAAGGTGATCATTGCATGAAAATTACAACCAAACAGACTGCAGCTGCAATAAAAAAGACCTTCAATTCAGCTAATCTGAGGCTTATCACAACAACCCAATCGATCTCAGTTACCCCAATCAAGTCTCCAAGACCGATTCAGTCCAAATCCCACTGTATTTACCAATTCACATGTAACTGCGGAGAAAGTTACTTAGGGAGGACAGATCGCCGACTGGAAGACAGGATAGGGGAACATATTCCAAAATGGTTAATCAAATCCATGATTGTTCAACCTAGCCCATCATTTCAAAATCGATCAAGAAATCCAGCCTCGTCCATTGCAAAACATCAAATGATGAGTGGTCATCAAATTGATCCAAAATCAGCCTTTAGAGTTGTGACATGTAATCAAAACCCACACACACTAAAACTACTTGAAGCTATCTTGATTGGTCGTAAAAGTCCAACTTTATGTGTTCAAAAACAACTGTATGTTGACCTTTGTTTACCATGGTTCTAGTGAGTGAATGTCATGCTAAATAAGAAATTTTGACCTTATCTTCAAAACTGTATGTACACAAATAACATGTTGCTTGTATGTGACTGACGAGAAAGCACGAAATGGTACTATCTCACAAAATATGTCTTCTTATTTCTCTATTCAGAACTGTCAAGTGACTGGAATTAGTGTATACTACCTAATACCTCGAATCGCTCAGAAATGATAAGAAGGGAATGCAAAGAAATTAACTGACTTACACCAGTTCGGGTAAGATACATCCAATCCAATCCTAGAAGTACTTTCAAGTAAACTGTGAATAAACTTCGGAGGTTTTTTCGGAAGTATCCATCCGAAATATAATCCAAAGTGTTTAAGTGCTCCGTAATAGATATTTGTCTCAACCTCTGAAACTACGCCTTTGATAAAATACTCTCTTATGACCAGTACTTAATTTGTCGCAGCAGATGCAAAAGAAGTTTTTGTTTCGTAGTAATGATAATGATAATGACAAAAAGCCTATGTAAGGACCATGGACAGTTGCGGGTAGTGAAAGCAAAAGCGATTGAAAAGGCAGCGGTGATAGGCAACAGTATACAACTTTTCCGCCTAATACAGGAAACCGGGATTAGAAATCCATCTGTTAGCGAAACCATCACAGAAAAGAATGTCTGTATCATTCATTCTCAATTAAGGAGATCGTATCGATTGGCAGAACACTTTAGGGATCAATTCAACTGGTCTTCAGCCACACTTCGGTTTTAGCAGTTAGATTGACCGAGATCTTAGGTCGAATCTGGAAACTAGACGAAATCCCATCTGACCAGTCTCAGCCGCTAATTGTTCCAATTTACAAGAAACGACAAAAGTCTTCTTGTGACAATTACAGGGGAATCAGTTTAACTAACATAGTTTCTGACTTCTTAGCCTCGATTATCGTTAGACGCTTAACTAGAGCTCGTGAACAGCAGACTAGAGCAAAACAGGCTGACTTCAGACCTGAACGTGGCTTTATAGACCACATCTTCACATTACGACAGGTCCTAGAACACAAACACACATTTAGGCGTCCGACAGTAGTCGTTTTCTCCGACCTTAAGGCGGAACTCGACTTGGCGAATCGTGAGGTTCTGTGGCAGTGTCTGTCATTGAAAGGTGTACCAAAGAAGTACATTACCCTTATGCTAGCTTTCTACTCGAACACCACTGGTCGAGTGACAGCTGATGGC